CGGGTGGTGACCGGGCCGCAACCTGGGCCGGTAGATATGACGTTAGCAATTCTTATAGTATTGTAGATATAGATGTAGATTGTAGATTGTAGATGTAGATGTAGATGTAGATGTAGAATCACTCCAGACTAACATCCAGCTGATCTAAGCTTTGCTTGTGTATGATATAGAATTGGCTGTTTGTTACAATACCGCTATTCGATGCGGACCATTGTTCACACCGTCCTCCAAACACTTACAGCATGCCATGCATCCAACCACATGTGAGACAGTATACTCGGATCCCAGAGGCATAATGTGCAATCTAATTGAAGGGTGGCGAAGCATGACGAAGGCTGGTACCTCGATCAACCCATGTGAGGACACACAAACTAGAACTTTCCTCAATCAATCTGGCAGTCACGGCCAGATTAAGTCAAAAATATCCAAGTCTGAGCTTGCCCTAAGACAGGTGTACAGAAGTTTGGTGAGGTTCCTGCTACAGTCACAAAAAGATCAACTTTGACTAACACAGGGAGGATAGAGGCAAACGTGTGTCTCAAGACAGAGAAAGGGATATAAATAGAGACCCTGCCATCTATGGGGAGAGCTGACGACAGGCAGCACACAGAGAAGATTGACTTGAAAACACGAAGAGAGGGTGGAGGCAATCGTACTTCTCAAGGCGGAGAAAGGGATCAAAAGCACACACTATAGAGCCATGGGGAAGGACAGGAACATTTTAAAGCAAGAAACAACAATGACGTGACATCGTCAGGCGCTGGAATATCAAATGCTCACAGAAAAGGAAGACACCTGGCAATTGCATCCAACAGCTTTGGTTGTCACTGTTATTTGTTCTGTGGGATGTAGGCAAGACACAATACAGTGCTCACCTGCACAATGCTTCCTGGTCTACTGGCAAGGTTATCCATTCGCTCAGAGTCTTTGAACCAATCTACAGCAAGAAGGGTCAGTAGTGGTCTCTCGCCCCGCACCTTTTCACAACAAGAAGCACAACCACAAGGCAGCCAGAGGTCAACACATGAAAGACCTAAATACATTTCAACCCAGGTCCAAAACCCTATTTGAAAGAAAACTGCTCACTTACCAAATTGTCTAAATAAAGTATGCCAAATTGCCAATGCTATCCACGGTGCATATATCTGAGCAGAACAGAAAACCAGGGAACCCAACAAATACTCGAACAAAAAAAAAGAACACGCCAACCCTGGTGAGCACATCCACTGAGTGGGGTTTTGCATTCCTTTCCAACTGGTATTGTTCACCAGAGCTAAGGTGGGTAGGCTGCCGGGCGAGCAGAGGGACGAACTGATAGCTGGACCAATGGACTGATCGACGAACTGATAGGCTGACGGACTGATCAGCGACCAATGGACGGATGGAAGGATGGAAAGACAGAGATGAACAGATGGGACAACAAACCAGGAAAAGGACAAGCATTAACACAATGGCAGACATACAGTGGAACCATGGAGCAGCTGGCAGACCGACTGATTGCTTGACAGACAGACAGACGGACAGACAAAAGGACGGGAAGATAAATGAAACAAACCAAACCAAAACTAAGCCGAAGCCAAACCAAAACTAACAAACCAACCAACCAACCAACCACGCAGCCATACTTCCCAAGTGTCTGAATGCTCAAATCCCTTTCACTTCGATTACGTTCACAGCAACAGAAAAAGGAGGCACTGACCTTGACACAATCCTGCAGGTAATTCTTCCCTCGCACCACAAACTGTTCTCCGCCTGGATCATCCCAACAGTTTGTTTCCTTCGCATGCCTTGCTTGGGGTACCGACCCCTTGAAGCGCGAAGGGTCAAAACTAATAGGGGAATAACCGTGCAGTAACTGCTCCGATCCACTGTCATCCACTGGAAGCAGCACACACCATGACGGATACAGTTTTTTGGTGAACATTATCCATATCACTTGTTCGTTAGCAAAAAGTTCATTGACTTCAGTAAGAAGCAGGCCCTCTCAGATAAACTTGGAAATAAGAATCAACAGGCTCACACACATGCCGCCAGTACAGTTGGTGTCATCATATTGTTAATCAATTTGGCTTCCAGATCACATTGGATCAAGATCCAGATGCACAGATTGTACACATGGATTAAGCCCATTGGCGGGTCATGTCCATCCATGTGAGTGTTAATGCATCCATGCCTTCCGCTGCCTGACGTTTCCCAACCATCCCCCTCACACATTCTCTTTGTCTTGGCTTTGTGAGTCAACATCGGGCTTGACCTTCCTAAATCCCATACATACCTCCTACCCTGGCATTTACCTCTTGCCTGCTGTTCCACTTTTGAACACGACCATAGCAAAA